AGCCTCCTCCCAGCATATCTGTTTTCTTGAAAGTTGGAGAGGGTTATATAAAGGAGCAAAGTGTGCTCTCAAAAGCTAACTCAGCACAGTAATTAAAAGGAAGATTACTTTAAACCGCGGCTATGGTTACACCAAGATATGTCGGGGTTTACACAGCAACAGATAAATTATTGCAGGCTGGAAATATGCCGATTTTGAAATGAAATTCTCATGGCACACACAAGAAATAAAGACAGAAAATACACTGTTCTTTGTAAGCGACGATTATTATCTTATTCTGTCTCATTTAATAAATATCAACGTTTTATTATTTTGCATAACGAATGGAATGGTCGGTCATTCACCATTCTCCACGCTCTTCAACTGTTTTCTTTTAATGACTGGCAAATAGCCACGTGCTTACCAACACCTCCGAAAGGTTAAACTACGCGTATTTATTACGTACTTATCACTGTTGACAAACAAATGGCGTCTTCATATGCCAGAGTTTCAAAAGAAGCATTAGCAATCCAGCTCAGAGACGTGCTCTTACCTGACAACCTACGATGTCGGGTCTAAACTTCACCTCATTGTAAATGTGGCCCAGTGCCCAGACAAAAGATATCGGGAACAGGAAACCTACGTTCTTGTAGACCAATGGTATTCAACCTAGGGTACGCGTACTCCTGGGGGTACGCGAAGACATCTTAGGGGGTACGTGAAATTTAAAAAAAATATATATTATTTTATGATAAACACTGAATAATCAGTAATGTAATTTATTTAATTTATTTTAGATGTTGATTATATACTATGTATAACTTGAATTATACACCAACAACTTTGGGGGTACAAAGTTGAAGAGAAATTATATTTGGGGGTACGTGAAAAAAAAAGGTTGAATACCACTGACTTAGACAACATTTTTATGACAATATCCTCTTGCTTCTGTTATAACATTTTCTTTTTTAGTCATCCAAAATTTTAATTCCACGGAATCCTTTTTCATTAATAAATACGAAATCCATCAGACAAAATTGAAAAGATTTACTGTAATGTGGCTTACATATTTTCCAAATGCATGTTTTCAGCTGTGCATAACTCACCGATATTCATACAAATTTATTGCAGAAGCAAATCTAATCTTTCAGACAATGATGTATAATTACAAATCCCTATACTCCATCACTCATTACACAATACTACCAATGCTTAGTGTTACTATTACACCACTGTATTATAACAGAATTTCACTGGCGTCACTAAGAACATATTTTAAATAGCACGCAGTCATGACCAGTTTCATTCTACACTAATATATGATCGCTTTAACAAGCGACACAAGAAATTATCAAAAACAGAATTATTCTAACTTGTTGGTGGCACGTTTTGACATCACAATATCATCTTCTGGCCAAGCTGTGTCATAAAACTAACACAGCGTACCAACACGCGAAGCTAAAAGTTCTGAGCAAGTTTATTTTCCCTAATTTTTTGGCAAATAAAACACCGCTCCAACAAAACACTTATCGTAACTATAAGATGAACTGAATCCTAACGACTGCTTGATACACAACATCTGAATTACGTAAAGGCCTTTACTACAAAATGAAGACTTGCACTGGTACACGACTTATAGCAGCAAAGACTTGTACAGTATCTCACTTTCCAGAGTCAGATCAAAGTACGGCGAGAATGATTATGTCAGAATCACTTTCTACACGAAATAAAATAATTCCCTGGCAATAGCCAAGAAAAAATACCTGCCCTTTACTACCTGTGATGATAAACAGCGAAATCAAGGGTGGACATGTTTACGTATATGCGCGATCTGCAGGGTCCTAGAAATTTGCAAAACGTGTCACTTTGAAAATAGAAACGTTTCAAAATCATTATGTATTAACATTTTTTTTTTTGGTTTAAGATCATGCAATTCGTAAAAAGCAATATTAAATCACCCTGTACAGACCCTATGCTGAAGTTCTGAAACCTCATTGAGTAAACAGAAACACAATAAAAGAAAAGTTAATAAAACAAACTTCTTTGAGACTACACTCAAGGGCATGGCGCAAATTTACTAACGCTAAAAAATCAGTCACAGAAAAAGAAATAAATGAATAAACTTATTCAGCATGGAAGTTGTTAATTCTGAAGCAAAACATACCAGAGAACTTAATTTGTAGAGCCTAAAGACGATGGACTTCACCTATTAATTCCATCCTGTGAACGAGTCATGTACATCTTCGCTCGTAGAAGTCCCTTTCTTACTAAAATCTATTTACAGTTCCTACGACGCAGAATTATCATTTCATAAACACTTTTTGAAACATTATATCCAGCTTAAATATGATGTGACCCCGAACAAATGTTTGCGAACACATCACAAGGACGCGATGTTTACACACAGCACCCAGCGACCAACGGCCGAATAATGACTTGTCTTCACTACCAACCCAGCTTACAGGTAGCGAGCGTTACTCGGTCTGGGAATGAATATTTCAACAAGGCCATCGTAGCCTGTGATAGATTGAGGCAATGACCCATACTGTTATAAAAAGGGTGAACTGTTTATAAAAATTCTTAAACAGAAAAGCAGACTTATAAATAATGTACATTGTCAAATCATTCCGCGGAGGCCGTCGAGTTCTGTCTGTGCTAGAAACTTGTTAAGTCCATCCACGCAAACTAGTCTCTCAAGGGGAGGGGTGACACCATCCCATCCTGCGAGATTTGATCCTAATACAATTCGTTAAACGGCACAAATATTGAAGTTCATCACTGTAGTGGCATTTGAGTTCGGCGAATATGAAGATGGAAGTCTTCTGGGTTGTTGCGCCTTGTAGTCTGCTAGATTTTTACAGACGTTTCAGAAGTGCTTGCTGCCTCCATCATCAGGATGATATGCACTGCTCAAACGTCAGTAAACTCCCAGTAGACTACACAGCGCAACAACCCAGAAGACAGAAATCTTCATACTCACCGCTGTGAAAACCTCAAATCTTAAGAAACATTAAGCTACTATACTAGTTCTGAAGATAGTGCGACCAGGTCTGTGACTATTTCAAACAGCGGGCCCAAAGGTAAGCCTTCTGGTTGAAGGCGGGGGCAAAATCCAGCTTTCGAATCGTTGTAGCTTAATTATTTAGACGACGGGCAAAGTCCGAAAGAATAATTCTACACAATTCTCTCTTACCGGATATGGAACCCGATAGTCGAATAGGGTTGTCTACCTTAAAGCAGGAAATAATTGGTCTTTATGACACAGACCACTCTTGAGTCAATATGGCGGCTTCTGAGTTGGTTCGTTGTACACATACGATGCATTGCGAAAGTCGAACTCATGTCCAGGAAGGAGATATTCGAAGCTGTACGGTAGTTCGACGTTACCTTTAACAGCTACATTCTAAGAATGAGAGGCTAAAGCCCACGTACGAACAACTTTCTCGTGGGTAAACTGGCTTTTCGTTGTCCCACGTTCAAATTTGTGTAATTTATTCGTTGCAGTGGACTTTGATGTGTGCTACAGACGTAATATTGATAAAACGTCACTTCCGGTCGGATGTCATGTCCACACTCTGAGCAAGAAAATAGGTAGACTTCGCGGCTCTGATTTAGGATTTATCTTTACATACTCAAGTTTAAAATTTGTATATGATTTTGAAGAACTTATGTTTCATTCGTAATAAAATACATGTATAATCCTAAGTCCGCGTTTTTTCTGTGTTAATGTTGGTTTTTATAGGCACTCTTGAGGTAATTTGACTGTCCGTAAAAATGATACTACCAGCTCCTCGAAAGTTTTGTTTATTTCATAATTCATTCTGAACGTAGGAAGCCAGAGGATCACATCCTTCACGTTGGTATTACCGTTTAGAGATTTTAAACATGAAAGTCTGGAGTATCTTCTAATGGCATAACCTCCATACCAAATATCATGAAATCCTATCAGCCATTCTCGAGTTATGACTGGCAGAACATGTACGAGTTCGCAAGACAACCGACAGATGGAACCATGAGCTCGTCTTCCGCTGAATGACGCAATAGACAGTTAAACAGGCAGACATGAACGGGACATCAAGATTTTCCTCGCTAAAGTGTAATGAACATTTCCTTCTTACAAAAGAAACTGAAGTCTTAATAATAAAAGGGGCGTGTATTTTATTATTGTTATTTGCTGTTGGCAAACACTCTAATAAAGGAAGTGAATTGAATTATTATTATTGTCTCCTGTATGTGTTGAGTCAACACATTAAAATAACAAACTGAACTGAATAATGTCCATTTCTGTTGTTAAGAAGGTTTAAATAAAAAGATAAGAAAATTTAAGTACAATCAAATATACAACAGTTAGAGCAAAACGTAAGTACAAATGCCAGTTAAGTATAGCGGTTAAAATGGGACATGCGTAATAAAATTGGAGAGATAAAATACCTGAGACGGCAAACGGGGAAGGCGTCTAGATAAATAGATCATGTATTTGTATAGAAAAATAAGGAGATCAAGTGTTCAACGCTGCTGTCTACAGCTCGGTGGAATTTGGAGAATATCTCAGGATTTGACTCAAAAAATACATTTTAAGAAATGATCGCAGGTAAATAGCTCACCAGAAGGATAAATGGAACTAAAACACAAACGTGTGACTAAAAATACAGAGAAACAAACTAAAAAAGACACAGGTCATTGGTAACCACGCTCAAGATTACTATCATGAACATCTTGACAGGTCACAAAACAACAATGACATACAAAATAAGTGGAACGTAAAACTACTTACCGAATTGGAGTTATCTTACCTTTTAGCTGTTCGCTACACCTGTCGAAGTTAATATAACCTACTTACAGCTCCACGTAAAATTTAATCATAACAACCAACAAGTCCTTAGAGCCATTTTCAAAACCACTGACTGATTGGTATCAAGATATTGAAATCAGAAAATGGAAAATATCAACACAAGAACATTTAAAGATGCACTAATACATAAACAACGCATATGTGGATATAAAGTGGTGTTTATAATTACCTTAGGTAGAGTTAAGTCCAAACTCCGCTACCTTAAAATTGTCCAGGAAGAGATAAATTCGCCCTCGAAAAATCATTCGCACACGCCAACCTCCAAAGTCACTGACTTAGAATTGACCTACTGAAATACTCCGATCATTGCAACTTACAAAATCAACCAATACTTCTAAAATCACGAATATTTCAAACCTTGATAACTGTAATAGAATCTATAGAGTTAAAAATACAGACATATTTTCTGAATTAACCATTTTTGTGTTTTTATTTCAACCAACTATAGCGTAAACTCTGAAAAAACACGGACAACACGACCCACGCATAACTTTCTACACGTCACTGACTATGGCGGAAACACCTAACTAGCCGCCAGTGCGGGCAAATGTTTCTGAAGTAATTTCCTACCTACGACGGATCAATTTTCGAGATAAGAACTATCGATATGACTAGTGGAGCCATCTCGCACATTTCTAAAATTTTAGACGGTTATGGTGGTAACTGCATAAGTTGGCAATTTGTCGGAATAAATTAACAAAATCTGATATCTGTTCTTTGGACTATACCAATATGTCAATAATTCAATTCAATTATTTAAGTGCTTGACAACAGCCTAAACGCCAATAACAGCCAAGCACTAACAAAATACAAACCTTACAATACAAAAAAAACTCAATATATAAATATACAAAATTATACAAAATTAATTTATTACAAAATAATTAATAAGTAAAAAAGTAAACACTAATAAAACACTAATAAAATAAAATACAAGGAACAAAATAAAAACAAAAATCAAATTAAAACAAATAATAATAATAATAATAGATGAATTAATCATACTAAGGGAATATACTCACTATTGTTTCTGATATTTCTGTGAATGCATAGTACTGACAAAATTATAGTTGCACTATTATAAAAATACGAGTCTATTATTTCTACGATTTGATAATGTAGCTATTTTTGTTCTTACTCTGTAACAGACAAGATTAATAATGGCTACAGTTCAGTGTGCAGGTTCGTAAATAATTATAAAAAGTTTACAGTTTATGTGTTCTACTTTCTGTGTTAATTAGCCTAATATAAGTTGTATCGCCCACAAACCAACGTTAGTGCCGAGAACACCGGGCACGTATAAAAAGTTAATTTTTTTAAAAAAAATAAAATATTGAAGTAACCGTAGAACGGGGTCAACGAACTCTGAGGATTTGCTTCGTGACTCTTACTCATATCAGTCACGGCGGCGTAAGACATCACTAATTGAGTTTTAGTTACCAATCAGTGTTCTGTTTCCAGGTACCGGTCTAGTGGTCAGTTAATTTACACTAAAAGTTATAATATCGTGGGGAAGGGAGAAGGAGTGGAATAACCATGAAATTAAAAGGAGGTAACAATTAAAATTCATACATTTTCAACACAAATACTATTACGAAGTCGATCAAATTAAATATAAATTAAAATCTCATACGTAGTCAACACAGATGGTAGTTAATCGCTTAAAAGAAAGTTTATTTCAAGACGCACACGAGGTGTGATATTTAACTTACCGGAATGCCCGCATATATGTCGCATCGAGTAGGGGGCGAAGCGACGTGTTTCGACGTATTTGTGGTTGCGTTTTTCAGTTTAGAAATGTATCGCATAAATACATTAACGAGTAACTGGCGTCAAATAGAATGACACTCGTATATCACTGTGGTAGTGGTCTGTAAGAACCGGTAACTATCGCTACGACGTAACATTTTGAATTCAGGGGGTTATCTAAAGAGATAACGTAAAACTGTAACAAGCCACATGGCAGGACGAAAATGGCGGCTCTTGATGGCCTTACTATATACATATATATTGTAGTACTTGAAAGAAATGCAAATACTTTATTTAAAAAAAACAACCAGAAATTCTAAACAGACGTAGAGACCAAACGTACAGTCTGGAACATGAATTTCATATATAAATTTCCAAAAACTCCATGAAGTTTGTATTTTGGCCTGTGCTGAGAAAGTCGAACTGTGAGATTATTATATTTATTAAACCTTTACGCATGCGCGATTGTGTTTCTGCAAAATTTTACCGAAGGAAGGAAGGATCCAGGTTTCTCAAAACGTGTCAGTCAAGAAGCTATGAGGATTTACTTCAGCACAAAGTTAGGAATTTTCATTGACTTTACGGCTATTTTAAGAAAAGTAAAGAAGAGACTTTAAATCCACAATTATTTATACTTCTGTATAGACATTCTACCTTATTTGCTGATATTTTAGGCCTATTATATCACTAAGTCGCTGTGTCATGTTTGCATTGGAGACATTTAAAACTGCATAGTACTACTGACATAAGCGGCTCAGTGACTGTAGTTGGGTAATGCACAAGCCTACAGCTTAAACCCGACCCGTCTTTGTATTCAACTGCGACCGTCTAGTCGTATTGCAGGCCTACAAAACATTTCGAAAGTTCAACATTATTCTTTTTGAGGTGTCCTGTATTGAAAACGACGCACAGCACACGACAAAAAGGAAATAAACAATCTTTTCAGATTATGAATTTTGCTATATTTAGTTCATCTTTTAGAGGTACGAAGTGGACTATTTTCGAGGCGTTAAGATTCGGGTCATACGTAAATCTAAACGCGTGCTCCAATTTCCATTTGTTGGCTGAAATCTCAGTCTCACACAAATGTTTCGTCTCTAGTCGATTTGCTGTCACTTCGAACTTTAATGGTGTGAATATGGCACACTTCATGTTCAATATCGACACTTCATAAACAAAATAAAATTAATTACATTTTTGTAACGCCTTGGATCAAGCTGCAACCACTTCCTACAATATAATGTATTATTCGCTATGAAACATTAATTTTGTGTTTGTCATAGTTCTTTCGTTATATAAGAAATTTATCTTTACACAATCTAAGAAACTTCAAGTGCCTACCTGTCTCTATCTGTCTGTCTGTCTGTCTGTCTGTCTGTCTGTCTATCTATCTATCTATCTATCTATCTATCTATCTATCTATCTATCTATCTATCTATCTATCTATCTATCTATCTATCTATCTATATATCTATCTATCAATCAATCAATCAATCAATCTATCTATCTATCTATATATCAATCTATCTATATATATATCAATCTATCTATCTATCAATTTATATATCTATCAATCTATCAATCAATCAATCAATCAATCAATCAATCTATCTATCTATCTATCTATCTATTAATCTATCTATCTACCAATTAATCTATCTATCTATCTATCAATCTATCTATCAATTTATCTATATATCAATCAATCTATCTATCTATCTATCTATCTATCTATCTATCTATCTATCTATCTATCTATCTATCTATCTATCTTATAGGCAAGTGTGCGTAGCTTGGTTGGTGATCATTTGTTGTTGAGGGATTTTGGACCTTGTGGGATAATATTTATGACTGCATGTTTTTACTGATTTAAATTTCCCCGTAATTTATAACAGGCAATTTACTACATTATAAAACAATGGAATTCAGAAAGGCACGTACAGAATCTGCAATGGTAGCCATTTTATCAGGACCAAGACATTCATTCTTGTGCTAAGACCCAATGATTCACGAGGTTTCGTCATCAGATGATATTTCGCAGTTCTGAAACTTTGCATGCGCTTACATTTGGCAACAAAAGGGTTTATAGCCCACCGGTCGTGACGGGAAACCGACTTAGGACAGCAAGCACTTTGCACTGAGAGCACAGTTCCTCGGACAAGCAGTGCTACATGAAATGAGGCTAAGATGGTTTACCCTTAGGAAACAGACACAGAGTCACCAGTTCGCCGCGCGTTGCCTAATTATGTAACGTTGATCCCATGCAGAGAGATGTAGTTTTATTGTCAGGGAGCAAACTGCAATATTGCAAGCAAAAATTTGGCAACGGATATTTGGGCCGACAGGAATAAACCCGGCCAGATGTTCCTTATAGGCCAAGGCCTATGTTTCGTATTCGACCTTCGTCACATGCAATACCCTATTTTCGTCGTTCCCATTTCCGTTGGTTCTGTGTAACAAGCAGAACTGATGTGAGAACAAATTCCATTTAAAATCGTCTCTGTCCTATATAATGCAATTTTGAATAATAAGTGCTGCCAAATATTAGTAATATATTCACACTATTTCAATATATATCGGCGTCTCTCCGACTTCAACCGGAGACTTCACGGAGTACAATGTTTTTTTCAGAAATAAGCTTCTTTCCTTCTGACTCTGCTACAGGCCTATAATATATCGTATCAACTACAGAGGTTGTATAACATCCACTGAGGCATGGAAATTTGATCCTGATACGTCAATGTTGTTTTGTTAAGTTCTTACATGACACAATTTCAACTGAAGTAATCACGTAACGTCGGCTAGCATGACTTAATTATATTTTGGCATTCTTTCCGTAATACAAAACAAAATTTCAGACTTCTTCAATCAATTTTCTGCCATGTATTTACAATTTATTCTACTTTTGTGGTCCATCTCCTTACGAAAGAGACCAGCACACCGTCTGGTTAGTTTTCTTTGCATTGAAATAGCTTGTTTGTACAAATCATCTTAAGAAGCTTTCAAAGGTCGTTTTGAATAGAGAATGCAGTTACTGAAACAAATGAAGGTCAGAGAGGCCAGAGATTGGGATATAAATAAAACTGTCATTATTAATATGCTTGGGGAACTTTAAACCATTTCTGACACAGTTCTTCAGCTTTCCGTCGTCGGTCCGATTATTGGATGAACGAGTGACATAACAATGTAACACAATTTCTTGTAGGGGAAAGAAGAAAAGTTGGATGCTTGAAGGAACAGTCAACTAGTACGGAGGAACCTGTTTCAGTAGACAAGATGAAACCGGTTGTCCTCACGGCATTTTCTACGTCTGACTCGCCCTCAAGTTACCTCTCATTTTTAGTGTCTTTCTATGGTAGGGATGTTGTACCATCAGCAGATAAGCTCTGTTCACAACAGCACGTAAATACTTAGACTTACAATCCTGTCTTCTCGATATTATTGGGAAGTGCGTTTCCCACTTATTGTTTTGGGTAAATTTGTTCAGTAACAGGTGTGGTCCTACACCACAACCTTTCCTTTCATGATCTATTGAAGTCGACGGGAAGTATATTCCCACTATAATTCCCCTACAAATCATTCGCGGGAAAGATACATTCATGTTCAATATATCGATCGATTCTAGTTTGAAAATAATAATTAGTTATAATTGTATAAGGTCACGTACAAAAAGTATAATAACAAACTTGAGGGAATTTATACAAAATTAATTATCTAAGATCATCATCAGCATCTACTATCAGTTGTCATAGCAACGATGAATTTCCTCAACAATTGGTTTACTCAATCACTGTTAGGTTAGAGTGCATATCATCTCGTTATTGGCCTCCTGAAATAGCTCCTGTCTATCTGATTGCATTTTATGACACTTTATTGATAGCCTTACATTATTAATTCTCTAGCGAAGAACACAAATTCATATACACCCGGATAAAAATTTACAACATTTCTTGAGAACTTTCAATGTCGAGATTGAGATAGCATCAAATAAAATTTCACAGACATATTCATTTAAATACTTCATCAACTTACGTATGAATGACTTAATTTATGGCAAATAAATGATTAGTTAGAAATTTAACCGACTTACAGTCTCAGACATAACCTTACATAACTTAAAAAGGAATTGGTTAATATTAGTACTTGGTCTCGTAGGAACAAATACAAATAATGCTAATGAACGTGACACATTATGCTTGTCATTTTCTTCATCCAAACTTTTCAGTGCTCAAGTTATTCTTCTGACTTTATAATTAACAGAGAGGCTTGTGAATGAAAGAGGCCAGTAGGAAACAGAATGGCAAAGAAACAAATGCATTCAATGAAATTCAAATTTTTAAATTTGTAATATTTAAATATATGTATTTAATTAGTGGCATACTTTAATGTGCGCCTGTCCTATTAACCTTGGTACAATCAACTTATGTTAAGCAAGGTAAAGACGACAATATGGCAGCCGCAGAGCACCATTCTATAATAGAGTGGTTACGAGCGAACCGCCACTGAAGAATACGTTCTAAAGGAGAAACAGAAATGTCTTAGCTGTATTTAATTTTTACTCAAGTGTCTGTGCTCTTCGAAATTAAAATCACCATGAGTGTACTAGAAAGCGCTGTGTGCACGTTTACTTTACAAAAATAAATTTGTATTTAAAGTTTGGGTTTTTTCACCGCCAATGAATGAGATTTGTTATTTCAGTGTAAACATTCAAACAAATTAATCAAGGCCTTAACTATGGCGTCCCACAGCCCGATCCAGTCAGCCTGACGTACGAAGTTTATGTGATTAAATACCATCACGAAAAAGACTACACCACCAGGACTTCACTATAGTCGGTGCGGTCCTCTTGTTCCAGATACGGGATATAACAGACGATAGGAGAGAATAAGCATAAATAATGCCGAAAATCTTTGAGAATAAAAGAGTTTTCCAAAATGTTCCAGAAGGACCGATAATATGGAGTTACCATGAGTTGATTTTTAGTTTTATTTGGTTCCAGAAATTATACAAAGCGATAAATTACAACAGGGTAAGACGGGATCTCGCCCTGATGATGAAGGCAGCAAGCACCTCTGAAAAGTCGGTAAACTTCTACCAGATTACATGGCGTTCGAACCCAGGCGACAGTCATATTTGGAAAAGGATTCGTTTGGTTGCTGAGGTTTCGTAAATTTTCAGTTCATAAAGCTGCCAATCAGCTGTAAAAATCCTAAGAATCTTTCACAACATTTATCCATTTAAGAGATTAAGTTCTGAAAGTTTCCTTGGCGTTATCCACTCTACAATGATCTGCTTTCTCATCAATATTGTAGAGAAACATTTGAACCGGCCTTTAGATGCAACAGTGAACGATATCCTTAAAAACCAAGTCCAAGGCAAACAAGTCGTCCCGTGTTGGGATAATTTTAGAATGGCGGCAGAGGAAACTGTCACACAGCTACATAATTGCTAATTCCGTCAGTTTTGAATACTGGCAAGCAGTATTCTTTCTCACGAGCACTCAAAACGGACAAACTCTCCATCGTGAAGCTTAATAATTTAATTAAAATACCTTTGTATTAATTAACATTTTTGAAGGAAACTGCTGCAAGCCCAAATTTTTGGTGCAATAATTGTAATAATTCTTCAGTTAAATTTGACAACAATGCGCGTAGAATACTTATGTACTGGTTATTGTACCGCTGCAGACTGAAAAAAGTAATTAAATATTCATGATTTAGTTTCATGTATAAAATTATTAGATTATACAGATTTTAATAAGAATGTGAAGTTACAATTTTTAATTATGATGCTTAACACAGAAAATATTAACATCATTTGTTCTTGAGAATGCAGGAGCAGACATTTTACATTAATATAAAAATTAACCAAATTATAAATGAAATTTTTTATAAGCATTAATATATGTAAACCTTTTTCTGAACCAACCAGTCTAAAATCTCCTGGTTTCAGGGCATACGCATGCCAAGTTTTACGCAAATCTGTTCATCCATTCGAAGGTGACCAAGAAATTTAGTAATCTGTAGCTAAGTGAAGCTCATTGCCGTCTCTTCAATAACAAACAAAAAGGGCACTTTTGATGATACTCATGTTGGAATGTAATTATCACCATTTCAATTTATATGCAAGAATTACAGCCAGACAAATATTTTATGTTACGGGAAGTCGTTCAAAACAGTAAACTGACGTAAATCAATCATTGTATAACCTTTCGACTCATAGATTACTCAACCACATGCTTCTTCGATAATGAGTGTTGATACAAAACACGCAGTCCTTTTCTCAGCTAAATTGTTGATACCTTACGTCAAAAAAATCTGCTTCTAGACGGCTGGCACCACGGGAAAATGTAAAAAAATTCAAACACACCAAGGTCATTACCGAAACATTAATTTTACGTGCAAATCGTTTCTGGTTCACGGAAGAGTTAAATCGTGTATTTAACGCCACTAAACCACGTAATTTCATATCGATGTTTTCGTATCACCTTACAGAAAAGGCCACTTCGTTGCAACCGCTTCAAGAAATGGACTATTCTGACTAGAATTTCCTTTCCAAAACACCATAAAGGGGTTATAATTATCAGTAAATCGGGTTAGAGATCTGCCAAGGCCGGTGGTAATAGGTCGAGTCGGGTTCGGGCCTGGTAAAATCGACAGCAATCAGACGTAGTTGCGATCATTTTATGCTCGTGACAGTTGGGCTCCAGAAACAAATCCCACCGACTTGATTTTTCGGGATTTTCGTACCATCCCCTTCTCAGAAATATCTCTTTTCATTCAAAGACAAGGTGGTTTAAATGATGTTTTATTTACATACACTTATTATTTTTGAAAATGACATACAATTTTCATGTGCATGTGTCACTTTCTACTTCCTCTTACAGTCAGTATGTTAACATAAATTCAAAATGTGCAGGAACCCTGGATTAACAACAGACCAACTTTATAACTGTCTTGTAATCATCTTGATACCTGCAAAAATAAGATAAGAGTACATAATACCACTCTGTAACTAGAATCCTACATCAAAGCCATGCGATTGCTTATTAAATAAATTGTACACTTTGACAAATAAAAGGTGTAAAAGAAGCCAAAAATTAAGGCAATTTCATTTTAATTTCTTGAAAAAATAATCGCACAGTAATTAGAAATATAAAGTTTTCCAATGAATTTGGTGAGGTGCGTGCGCAGTGTGAACGCCTCCCCACCTGTGGAATTAATGCAGCAGTTCTAATCGCTGCCGCTATCACTCTCGCTCTCAGCCGATTGGAAATCTCCCACGTGTATAGAGAACTTATATTCCTGGTCACAACCAAGGTAAGCATCACTCATAAAATACAACGTGTACGTGTGATGACCTGCAACAGTAAACATTTTAAATTTACACTTAGGCAATGTCCTACGTAAGCGATAACAAGCGAGCTGTATAAGCAGCATGGGGTGTCATATGAAGCGGGGAATTGCTTGTTGTGTCCTACACGAGAGACCGCTATAGAAGGACACGGCCTTCCAGCGCATGCACCTTCCGTGAACTGCACGGTCAGAGCTTTCTTGCGCATGTGCCTTACTGGCCAGCGCAGCGACTCGCGCGAAAATATCAAAATATTTGATCTCGGACTTTGGCCGCTTCGCTGGAACCTAGGACAGTGCCACACAAACAGCCAGTTTGATATTTCCACTTCACCCACGCAACTTACACCGCTCGCATTTAATCGCTCACGTAGGACAGTGGGTAAATGTTACACAATCAAGCAGCCTACATGCTCATAACATGAACTGCCGTTAACCTTGAATCATAACGTAAACATGAATAAACATAACGTAAAAGTTGAAAGAATTGTCATTAAGAACTTCAACTCAACCTCCGACTTAATTGCCAACAGCATTTTAATGAAGATAATGCATTTAATCCTGTTGCAAAGGGGACAAGTCGATGATGGACGTGCATAATTTATTGTGTAACTAACAAAAATCACAATATAACTTACCTGGACTTGGTGCAACAAAATCTAGCTTTACTTTGGCTTTCTGTTGCAAAGTAAGCCTCTTTATTGACAACAACGAGTTCATCTTAGGATCGCCAATCACTACCCACCATCCTTCCTCTCGTTTCTGCTCAAAAAGAGAAATAAGATTACAGATATCTCACTATTAAATAATTGTTGATACAATTAAGGGTAAACGAAGTAAATTACAGAAAAGGCCATAAATTTGTACCACCACTGTTTTTGGCAGCATAAATATTGAGCAGATTCATTCTTGAGAAGCTGACAGTGGTCAAGAAATACTCTTATCTCTTCTGGAACCCAAACGTCTATAAGCACGTTCACAAGAGCCCGCCACTGACATAATTCTAGGCCTGAAAAGTCTGATCCATACCCGAACACCCCATTTCTTGAAAATAAACTTACTGTTCAACCCTGAAATTAAATTCTGACCAGCAGCCCCTCATGTAAGTGCCCTATACCCCACCAACCCTACCGCCCTTGTCCAGATGTCTAAAGTATTCCTTTCACTTTAGATTTTCTGAAATTGTATGTTTTCCCCATCTCTCCCAAGTGCGTTAAGGTAAATAAGCAGATATTACAAATAACGTTGGAAATAATTTAAATTAAAGAGAAAACTAATATATCATACATGAAAATGACTATGACCAGTGTCTTGCAGTTATTTTGCCTTGCGTACTGTTACAAACATCAGCGTCTGAAACATGACCCTCTTTCCCACCACCTTCTCAATTTAATAGCAGACGGACTGTGAGTAATACAGAGTGATCATTAATATGCCATTCTGAATACAATATACACTTCAAAACTGAGAACAAAATGCAAGAAGAAACAGCATAATGTTATCATTAATTTATAGATTATTTACCAATATTGTCAACATAGAATATAAACTCTTGAATTACAAAGTAATCAGGGAATAAAAAAACCCCGGAAAGGATGTGGAAGGAAGGGACCATGACATAATTTAAGGTACCATCCTGCCACAGTGCTACTATATGAACAGACTTCAATTACATACCTGTGGATAGAACGGAGCAATCACCGGTCCAGTGACTTCATCCTCACGTTCCAGTTGCACGATAACATTAACAGAGGAGCCACTGTGGATCCTGTCTTTGTCCTGCACTTCATAACTCATCTCAATGTTAGGGTACCGGTTACAAAACCTGGCAACATCTGCCATCTGTGCATCGGTCAGTTGTAGCAATTTTGAGCGGTCATCGTCCTCCAGTTCCATTATGTCAAAAACTGTCTCCACACCCTGTAAAAAAAGTATCACATATTTTATTCATTAAACTTATATCGAGATACAAACATTTACAATTTTTGCAGCGTACTGATGAACTAGAATGAAGTCTGCCAACCTCAGCTTTAAGAGTACATACGCAAGACTCTTCTTACTATATGCAGTTGCTTATCTATCATTTATGCAGACTGTAATCTGAATTTATAACTTGTGTTGGGCAAGGCCGTGGTCTAGACAACACGGAGTTTTCCTCCGGGGCTTCCCCGGTTTCTCCGTGGCATCCCAACAATTACTCCATACTCCATATACACAGAGAAGTCAATGACAATGCCTAAAAAACATATATGAACAGGTCCCAGTCCAAGAAAAGGATGGAAGGATCCTGTTCATAATGTCGCCAACCTCCTGTAAAGGAGACGGCTTAATAAAAAAATCAATAACCACTTTTCTATTTATTCGTAGTGATAGCTCTACTTTGCAAAGAGTCAGTCTATACCATAAATCATGAAAAGCAAACCAAGTAACATGCAAAACAACAAACAGAGCCCAAACTGAACTTCACTAACAAATAAGGCAAACTTCCAGTTTCTCATTCATTTCACATTTACAGTACAAACAGCAAAGCTTCTAAACAAAATCATAACTTTATTTATCTACCTGTGATTTATTTAATGACACTGTCATTAGCTCAGAGTACACAGCATCAGGTGACAGGATTACCAGTAGCAATGTTGACATTGCTTTCTTTAATTTTTGCCTTCCAAAATAGGCCATGCCTCGAACTTTGGCATCTAATTATGTGCATTTAACACTTCATAATGTGTTCTTCAATTATCATGAAGTGAACTTTATAATGGGTTTCAGAGTTACATATAATTTCTGAAAATCATCAAACATTGGACAAACACACTTTACTGGAACACTGCTCCATTAAAAATTCATGGTAATAAATTAATGTAGACTCAAGCCTAAGCTTTAATGAGAATGAGCTTTCCTCAGAGTAATTAAATTTTATCTGTTTTTATTTTTGTTTTGAATAATATCCCTGCTTTGGCAGTACTAAAGCTTATCTACACACCTTCTCTGTGCACCTCTTGATGATGTCGGGTGTGAAGTGCGGGAGTTGTTTCAGGTAAGAATCCTTGCTCCACATGGCCTGCGTAACCATCTGAGCCAGTTCCATAGCTGCTACTGCAGGAGAAAGCCAACCATTGGAACTCAACACATCCACACAAGCTTGAATCAAACGGATGGCTTTGCCAAGAATGGCTTCTGTGTCTCCCTGTAGCTCGGCTCCTAGTTGGAGGCGAGACAAATGGGCCTGAAGGAGCAAATTGGTCTTGTTATGTGGGTCATTGTACTTGGGTGATCCTGCCAACTTGTTTGGAAGCCGTGCTGCCAAACTGCGAAGTAGATTATCTTCACGGTGACGCACTGGCACATCTTCATATTCTGCAGCAGAGGAGATAATCTCCAGCAACCCACGGATCTTGGTCTTGTTGTTGAGAGACAGACTGAACAACTCAATTGTGGTGTAGTTGATATAGTAGTATGCAGCAATCATACCCAGATTCAAAGGCAAACAGTCCATCTCATCTTCAATACTGATGCATTTTGATTGTTCTAAATCATTCAGGGTATTTTCAACAAGTTCTGATAGATGATCAGATAAATGTCGATGGGTAACTCCTTGAAGATTATAATAGTTTGGGTTCTGTGTGAGTCTGCGGTATATAAATGTCCAGGTCAGGTAATCTACTGCATCTTGCTTGTTCTCGATAGTTTTGGTCACAATTTCAGCATTGAAATGGTCATGCAACCTATGATCTAGATGGCTCTCAACTGGTAGCGATTCATTGAGGAACTTCTTGAAGAAATCTTTTTTGGAGCTTTGACACATGAGCACACACTTTGCATCATCATCCTCCAGCGGGCGATTAGCACGACCCACCATCTGCAGAACATCAGTAACGGGATAGTCCTCATATGCATGTATCTTGCCATTATAAAACTGAGTATCCATGATAACAACCAAGTGCGCAGCTATATTGACACCCCAACACAAGTTTCGTGTCACTACTGCTACCTGCACTGCTCCTGAATCAAACAACTGTTCTACAAGACGGTGGTCACTTGGCGTGAGACCCTCATGAATATAAGCCACTCCTTGTGAGAGAGTCTCCTTCAATGTTTTATCTGTCATGCGATCAAGGAATGGTTTGATGTCCTCTTCCTCAGCATGGAAGAATCTATTTGGCTGACCCTCAGCTGCAGTGAAGGTCAAGAGGTCTATGGCAGTCAGCCGAGCTTGCTTCCTTGTAGGCACAAAAACAATCACTGGTTTGTGAGGACTGTGTTTTAAAATTGAATTGTACACTGGCTTGGTCATTGCAATGAGACGGGATGCATTGTGTGTAACGTTGAATCCTTGAACATGCAGCTCAAGTGGAATGGGTCGCACACTGGGATGGAAGTTGAACGTGGCATTGGCGTTGCAGCCGAGCCATTGCGCAACATCACGAGCATCGGCCAGAGAAGCAGAAAGCGACACTATACGGATCTGCCGCTCAATCTGCGAAGAGATGTATCGCATCCTGGAACAGACCACTTCCAACACAGGACCATCTTCTCCTCCAATCAGCTGCAGCTCATCAACGATGAAGAGCTGAATATTCTGCACATTCTTTCTTTGTTTCCATCGCCTTGACAGAACATCCCACTTCTCAGCAGTGCAAATGATTACCTGACCTTTCGCCAGCAACTTCAAGTCAGTTCCAGTTTCACCTGTCAGTAGAACCACCTTCCTTCCTAGCACACCGCCAAACTTTTGCTGCCAGTCAACAAACACCAGCTCAGCTAGAGCATCACGAGGAACGAGGTACACACAACGGCCCTCAAGATTCTGTGACAGAAGTCTCAGTACTGCGAATTCAGCAATTGTTGTTTTTCCTGAGCCAGTTGGAGCTCCTATGAAAATGTTGTCATCACTGTTATATACAGCATTAAACACCTGTGTCTGGATGGGATTAAACTGGGGAAATTTACCCAGATATAGAGATTCAAATGCAGGATTTCTCAGAGCTGTTACTGGAAGAGGCTGAAGATCCAAAAGCTCTGTTGGAGGCAGATTCTTTTCCGGTAGAATGAGATGTCTGAAGGAGACTGGTAACTGAGTCTCTGCGCCTATCCATCGATCTGACACAATTCTCAGAAAATACTGCGGAGGAAGAGGTTCAAATACTGGAACAAAAAACTTGACAAGATGTTCATCAGTTGCAAATTTGGACTTAAGAAGAAAATATTCATGGTGCAGGATAACCTCAGAATCTACATCTTCCACAAGAATCCAGAATGCTTCAGATGCACCATGCAACTTTTCATCCCACTGGAAGTCGGGTGTGATTGTTAACTCCACACGCAATGTTGATCTTGTTATAGGTTGGATATGAGTAGACAACTCAAGCTTGGGAAATTGATGTACATACTTGTGAACTGTCTTTCCCAACTTTGGTACACGGATGAGCTCTCCAATTTCATTTGGGTTAAGATCATACAACCTAGAAACATCGCAAAAATGTTAAAATTATTTGACAGATCAACATAGTAGAACATACTATGACTTCATTTGTAAAATTAAAAGAAAAGGGACATTAAATTGATAAACTATCCAAATAACAAAGCAATTATAAAAACATATGACACAAAGGTCCTCAATAAAAAATCTAATACTGTCACCACGTTCACACACCAATGGTTTTGCAAGTATATAACTACCGAGTTACTTATGGATCAAGGCTACAATAGTGACAGTAATAATAAAAAAAAATTATCAGTAGTTCAAGTAAATGCATCACAACACGCTAATGGTGCCAACATCAACCATAAACTGTTCTGTAACTATATAAGAACATTCTTACAAACTCTGAAATATGAAGATAACCAAACATAAATATTGCTTCAACAATACAATTTTAAAACTCTAAATATTCATCATAAAAATACAGTTACAGTGTAGTTCTAATAATTACATCAATAAATATAATCTGAAAATGGAAAGTGAAAGAAATAAAATAAAATATTAAAATTTGCACAATGCAAAGAACTCTAACCTCTCCCATGGAAAATTCTTCTTTTCAATTTTCTTCACAATTTCCTCTGGCATTTTACGGAACTGGCGGAGAGGAGACATAGACTGCCACATACGTCGATCCACCATTTTACACAGTGAGAGTGCTTTGTCTGCTAACTGCGCCCAGCCTCGGTACAGAACTAATGACACCAAATATATAGCAAATTTAGTCAGAGTAGTCTATATTTTACCGAGTAACATGTTCCAAGACCCTCATATTAAATGCAAATCATTGAGAAAATGTGTAGGTAACACTTTTATGAAAAAAACTGCAAATATAAGATATATGTCCTTTCTTCTGTGAACAATGACCAACAGATGAAATACTGATTTCTGTGTTCAATAATACAATTTGTAAACAGGGCTGTGGAATACAAAACAATTTAACAAAACTGTAAAGAAATACCTAAAACCACTCATTTTAACTATCATATATTAAAAGAGCAAAACAAGTAAAATCAAAACAATAAATCAAGCTCCAAACCTACCTATCTCAAAAATGGCCCGCATGAGTCGAGCAGCTGACTGTGTGACATAAACCATATCTGACATCAGCGCAAAGCCTTCCAGTTTCAGCTGCGAAATGTAAGCCTGAAGTAAAACATTCACTTTTGCACTCGGCTCTTCAATGCTCTCCTTGATCGGAATTGGCACGCGATCCATCAGTTTCTGCAGTTCCAATTTCTCTTCCTCCCTAACAGTGATGTTACGGAATTCACCGGACAATGAAAACACTCTGAAAGGAATACGCAATAATATGAAGTCACTAGTTTATAAATATCATCACCTTCTCAAGAATGGACTCTGCTGCATGGAGCTAGTTCAAGTGAAATTAGATTTCAGGCTTCACAATTCATGGTTTTCCCACACTTTGTATTCATTTTCGTGATCCCAGCCATGGTTGTGTATAATATAATACACTGTCTTGGTTCTGTGTTTCTTGATCTAAGTTATTATCCTCACTTAAGAAATTAGTTTTAGGTTTATACATGTGATCTGGACCTCAGTTCAGTGTTCATGTGAACACAGCATGCACAATTTATCTTCACCAATGAATATAAAGCTGCAAGAAATATGTTTCAGTTAGTTTAAGAACTATCGAGTCAAAACTGTTATCCACAAATATCACTCCAGGAACATAGAATCTATCAGCACAATGTTAAAATATTCTCACCAAATTGCATGGGTTTGTATATGAGCTATTAAAAATTTCAGGATACTATTATAAAACTGTAACCTTTGGAATCAGCATCCACATCAATTTGAGATACCTTGAAATATTCTTCTGGGATTTCCTGATAGGGCAGAATTTACATATTATATTAAGAAAATTATCGTGGTAAAACGTCATATTCACATTTTCACATAATTTGTATAACCTCTTTTCAGTCCCACTAATTTCCTACAACCTCAGTGACTCTTGTTTCCACAAAATTCATATCATTTAATTGACCTCAGGCTTTATGACCTTTTTTCTTTCCAACCATTGATCACTCTGACAAGTTAGTTGCCATCTTGCAAAGAGCATTTGCTTTCAAATTAGCTGCTGTTGTTATCATCAACATCATCATCTGCTGTATGTACTGTGTTCTTTTATTTGAATTTTCATGTTTGGAAATGGAAGAAGCCATTTCCTTATAAAAAACTAAATACACTACAAGAAGCTGACAAACACATGGGGGACTCATTTGGATTACCAATATCAATTCTTAACACAATAACAAGACAATCATGTAAAAGTAAAGTAAAGCTGTCCCACTATACGCCATGTAGGCGCTTGGGGGGGGGGGGAGTGGAGGTATAGCTCCTCTCCTACTCATTCTTGACCTCAGCACTAGATGGGGGTAAGTGGTCAGCATCACGCCCTGGGAAAGGGACTAAGGTGAAGGTAAGTACTGAGCTTATGATTTTTTAATTTCCTGCGATTTAAATCACATTTTATCAATCCCCAGAAAAGTCTAAATATCGAGCTTCCCTGCACATAAACGTGATACATACCTGAAGAGTTCAATTTCACTCAGGGTTGGTTTCAACAACTGATTATATGTTGCCATGGTGTCATGTGTGCAATAGTAGTGACTGGAAATACGGCCCAGTTCTGTCACCTTGAAAGAAAAACAATGTAATTGAAATATCTAATCTCTTTATCATGATGTAACAGCGTACAATGCTGTATATTACACACGTGTCCAAAGACATGATTTCTAAAGGAACTGGATACTGACTTCATGGTTTATTTCCTGTTAGCTTCAGACCCTTCTCTGTTTCAGTCAGTGGTCCAGCTTTAAATTTGAATACAAAATGGGTTTAATGGGTGTACTACAGTCTGATACAAAATATCAGAAACTGATATGAAACAGTTAATTCAGTTTCTCTCTTTCAAAGTAAACTCCTACTGATTCTGCATTGTGATTCCAATTATCTGGACATTTTTTCAAGCATTTCTTGTATTCATCTTCTAAGATAATGTTCAATTCACACATCACATTTTGCCTAATCACAGGCATTTGCAGTATTTTACATTAAGAATTATTTCCAGTTTTGGGAACAAAATTTCACTCTATACCAAAACCAGCAAGAATAAGAAATGTAGGAAACCTTGTGTTTGGTACACGACTCCTAAGTGAAATGGCACTCTTGTGATGACACACAAATAACAGGGTCGGCAAGAGTTGCCACACGATTTGCTTAATTCAGCTACTGTGTGATTGACTGATTGATTGATTTATTTATAAAAAAATCAGCCCCTAACCTTGATGAACTTGTAGGTGTGCAGTTTCTATGGGTTATTTGGCTGTCACTCACCTGAAAATGTCCTGTCTTACGGTCATACTTAACAAGTCCACTGCGATCTAAGTGCAAGGCTGCAGTGTGAATTAAGTCTGCTCTATACTGCTCCAGCAGAGGATCCTCCTTAAGACGGTCATGGGATATTCCATAAAGAGTAGATGCACGTAACAACCTGTAGCCACACATAAAAATCTTACGATATTTTGAGAATGTAAAGAACGCTCACTCATGTCCATACATATTGTCAGAAAAATATGATTTATGAAACATATCCTACATGATAATTTTAATTTCAGCTCCAGTACACACCATTTTCCATATATGAAACCTTATTTCTGGCACACTACAACTTTATGGTATCACATTAGTACGGACGATGTGTGTCATTTCCTACCTGATGTAGAGGTAAGTGTACCCTAGCCATGTAACAGCATCCCTGACATTCTGAATAGTTCCTAGCACAATCTCTGCATTCAGCATATCTGGAAGCTTGCTAATGAGCTGTGACTCTATTGGCAGTTGCTGATTCAACAGTGACAGGTAGTACTGCAGCTCACTGTGGTTTGTGATCAGAATACCCTCTCCTTTGGTGTCATATTGAGGCCGACCAGCTCGACCAAGCATCTGTCAAAATCAATCAGAAAATTCATGTCAGCTGTACAACTACTATAGAGTATAAGATCTGAGGTTCTCAGATTGAAGATGTCAGGGTTAGTCAACTGGACTGTAATCCCATGTAGATTTGTAGCCAAATACTAACTTCTGAAGGTACTTACTGCCTCCAACTTCTGGGCTGAAGTCCAGAAGACCAACATCAACAAAAATAAAACATGACAGATTTCAGGTTCTCATGGCAGTGAGTATGGCAATGGCTTTCTTTCAGGTTGTTGTGCTGTGTAGTCTTGTAGAAGTTTACTGACATCTACCAGACTACATGGCGCAAAAATCCAAAAGACAGCCATCATCAAGAGTTCTCTCATCTAAGCCAGGATGGCAGACTCCGCTGCCCTGTATTCTTCAAAGGAAAACTGTCAAGGTCACGAAATCAGAATGGTTCTTTTACAATTATACATTATAAATAAAAGCCACAATCAAGGAAAATGATAAGAAAGGAAATTACATTATAAACTTCATATAATATCCCAAAACTGAAAAAATATACAATACCTGTAATACATCCAAAGCTCCTAACTCTACCCAACGTCCTTTTTCAGGATTATAGACTTGTGTTCCTTTTATGATGACCGTATGTGCTGGCAGGTTTACACCCCAAGCAAGGGTGGCAGTAGACACCAGAACCTGTTAAATCAGGAATATAGCATGAACACACTCTCAGGATTCTGCACTCCATTTTGAACCATCCACTTGGAAATATGGATTAAATGGATTCAGACTGAACTAAAGCAGAATTTTCACATTATAACAAACAGCACTGACAATAACTTTACAACAATTTATAAGAACATAGAAGTCCATTCAGTCCAAGGAAATAAAAGCATGGAGCAATTACTAACATGTCCCCTAGTATGAGCTCAATGCAACAAAGTAATATAACAAGAACTTTGTAGGCAAAGAGGAGAAGCAAAAGAATTTTGCATACAAAAAGGCAGACATCTGATAGAAAACCTTCTGCATAAACATCAATTAGCAAAAATGGAAACTCACACGCAAACAATATACACCACATTCAAATATTGCCGTAACTATGAAACGAAATGTTCACTGAAGGTGTTACGGAAACTGCACTACATTACCTGAATATGCCTGTCAGCAAACAGATCTTCCACCAGTGTTCTGTCTACACGAGTCATTCCTGCATGATGAATGGCAAACCCATAGGGTAAAAGATCCTTCAATTCATGATTCTGGAAATAAAGATAAATATCTGAAAATTGATTTTTCATGGCAAAGATGTTGATGTTCCAGATTGTGAGTGCTGTGTGGGCTCATAGGTACAGATACCAACATTACAGGACATACCTTAACTTGCTCAGCCTCAGTCCTTAATACTTCCATCGATGCTGAACCTTCCCTCAGGAACTTACCAAGAGTATCCTTCTCAAGACACATGTCTCGAATAGCTCGAGCAGTCTTTCCTGTAACAAAGACATAAAACTAGCCATGAACAAATCAAATGACTGATAAAATGGTTTATTTTTGTACCTCAAGAACACAGCCTAATACGAAACAGGTAAAATGAAATATTGACAAACCATGATCAAGGTTCCAGGTCAAATTTGAACCACCCTACGATAAAACTAATGGATAAAGTTCAATATTTTAAGTTATTTTAAATACTGTACCTGTAAGAGATAAAATTTTCCCTATACAAAAACTCAGAATAAGAGCTTAATATACCAAACATAACTAGTCCCAATAAATATAGTGTTCCTTACCTGTTTCCTTGCGTGAGTGCACAAACACAAGCACCTGGTTACGACCTGCATGCTCCATAACTTTCTCATACACAATTTCATTCATTACTTGAAATCGTTTCAGTGCTTTCTTCTCTGTCACGCCTATGTATTGCTGCTCTAATGCAACTGGACGAAAACTGTTGTCGAAGTAGAACAAGCCCTAAACAGAAACACATATATGCTGGCATTAAACCTGTGCCTTAGACAGCTTCTTACCATGGAGGCGAGAGATCACTACCAGGGAAGTCCGTATGAGATCTGCGGTGGACAGCATGGCACTGGGAGAGATTTTCCTCTGAGGCCTTTGGTTTTCCCCTGCCAATGCCATTCCACTGATGCTGTATATTCACTCATGCATTACCATTCTCACATCTCGTAATGCTTTCATCTTAATCACTTCTTGTTCATTCTAATTTCTTTTAAATTAGTCACTACAATTATTCAATTGGAGATGGGATACTTATAATGAATGGAGAATTATAAAAATGTACATAATACAGATTTCTTATAAATATGAAATACTATTATGGTAATTCTTTTAAAATACAAAACAATACAGTGACCACAGGGAGTCAGAAATGTGTCTTCTGATTTAATGACAACAGCCACACACAACTTTAGGAGGAGGGAAACAGTTATCATGCTTATAATTTCTATATGAAAGTTATTCTATGCTGAATAGTATCAAGATGTCAATGGCACATAAAAATATTTATAGGGTTACTGATATGTACACAGCTAACTAAATTCCACGATTATTCACAAATAAGAACCTTAAACATGCCTTCTGTATGATCTGTGGCTTTCACAGTGGCAAAGTGTACCTAATTCTTCTTGGGCTACCAGGCATGTCAGGTGGATGTAAGGTGAAAACACCATTTCAAGAACTCCTTTTTCCTTGTCTTCAGGTTACTGACTTCAGACAAAGGTGGCTCTGGAAATGTCAGTGTTTTCACCTTTCAACCACCTGACACGTCCGGTAGCCAGAAAAAATTTCATTAAACTTGCTTTTTGATTTGAAATTGTCAGGGATTTCATTGTAAAATACAGCAAAAGTTAAATTGCCTGACTAGGCATATAGGCTCCACACTATCTAGACTTCAGCACTAAAAGGAGGTACCATCTTCATGCTCCAGCCATTTACCACACAGCTGATTACAGTTAACAGCATGTATGCTGGTTATGTTTTCTCATCAGCATCATTTCTATAAGATCACTCTCTGCTAACATTTTTAATTTTAAAATTAGACATCACTATTAACCTAGGGATTGTTTGGAGAGTTTAATAAGTAAATGGGGAAAATAAAACAATACTGGAAACAGCACCCAATGCAAATTCTGGACTAATGGACAAAGATTTCAAAAACAGTTCTTTGGTAAAATTACTATGAATAATTTGTACTTACTGTCTCCTGTTTGATCCTCAGGAAAGTGGATACATCTTGATAGTTGGGCAAGGTAGCACTAAGACCCACAAGTCGAACGTCCTCCTGTGTTGTTTCAATGTTGCGTATTGTTCGTGCAACCAGAGCTTCAAGAACAGGTCCTCTCTCATCATGAAGTAAATGAACTTCATCCTGTACATCACAAGAGAAAAAGATCAACTTGTAATCTGCACATATGATTATAACTCATCCTATGAAAAAGTCTGCTACATTTTTCTCTGTCCTCCTATATGAGACCATCTTGTATCAGCGTCTATCCTTCTCTACTCTCGTTCATTCCTCGCCTAGTGTCTTCTCATTCACCTTGGCCTACCCCATGATATTTTATACAACATATTTGAAAATCACTCATTTCTTAAGTTCTCATACTGTCAATAATGCACAGTACATATGGTCTTCATTTGATCACCCCTTATTGTACCATTTATAATTTTAAATTCTGCTTGAGCAATACTCTGTTACAAGTGTTTATTCCTTTCATTAACGTACTGTACAGCACAACAAACCATCACCTAAAATATGCATATTATTTTACTTTCAACTACCCCAACTTTCATATTCTCCTGAAGTACTGTCACACATACAGGCTGATGGAAACTTACAATGATAACGAGTCTGACAAGCTGTGTAAACGTTTTCTCTCCACCCTTTCTTGTAATGATATCCCACTTTTCTGGTGTGCATACAATTATCTGTGTAGCTTGGATCTGTTCCCTTGTTAGCTGATGATCACCTGTCAACTCTGACACTGTCAGATTATAAGAATTCAACCTCTGCAACAAAAACAATATGTTGTAACCACAGAAACATGATCAATTGCCAACTACAGAAGAAAATGATGTCTGTTTATGATCAGATTAAAACATTTAAATGATTCTAATAACTGCAAAATATCCACACAAATTAAGTTTCACTAAATTGTAATATATGTTAGATAAAGTGGAATGATACAGGCCAAAGTAATATATGGCTAACAAATCTTCATACAGACATCCATTACCAATTTCATCAGTATCAACAAGTGGTTTGGAAAACAAAACATTCAGACAGGTAAGACCAGACCATCACATTATGAATTTATTTTGAGTAAAAATACTCTGTGTTAGCTTCATAAAAATGTATACATTCAATACAGATAATAGACCTACCTTACTGAAATTTCCCACCATTTCCTGTACAAGAGATCTCATTGGAGCAACATAAATGATTTTGAACTCATCTGTATTTATTGTGCCATCAGCATTGATGTGCTTCCCAATTTCTCGAAGCATGCATAGAAGAGCCACGTTTGTTTTACCAGCTCCCTGGAGAACATAAAGTAAATAATGAAGTTCTTACTCTATAAAATGACCATGATTGAGTGAGGAGACCTCAACAGTACCAAAGCTTCATGGTCACATTCAGACATGGAGAAGCATTCACAAAAAACATCAGGATTCTCAGTGCTTTACTGCTGTTACTTCTTATCTCTATCGAGTAACAGCCAAACCAATTCAGTGTTCACACTTTATCATATTTGCTTTACAAGAGGTACCAATAGGAACTACCTCTACACCACATGGCAGAAGAGGATCGACTAAGTGAAGTGACCAATAGGAATTTGACATATTTAACTTACTTGTGTTCAACTATATTACACATTAGTACTCATTACTATTTACAAATCAATGTTAATTTTATAAATGTTAACGATATTAATGAAGAAAATAATTAATTGTAACAATATGTGAAATAAACTCAAGCCCCATTTTAAAAGAACTCACAGCAGTGTAATCACTGATTCCCAGTACAATATTTACCTAACACACAACAAAATTCAAATTTATAAAATCTTTTAACTGGTACTTACAGTAGGAGCACAGAGTAGTATATTTTCATCTGAATCAAGTGCAGCCTTATACAATTTGCTCTGAATTCTATTTAATGTCTTGAAGTCTTCAAATGCTGGTTGCACATATTTTGGCAGCTTTTCTACTGCATATAAACTTTCATCTGGTGCAAATGGTTTTGCCTTTAATGCAGGGACATGAACTTCTTCATAACCTGCAAAACATGGTATAATAAATTTCAAAACATGGAATCATACATATTTAATTTTCCTAAGAACTGAAATATGAGAGAAGATAAGAGAAAACTTGTGAAACTGTCTTCTACAAACTGTATATCAGATAATAATGTAAAATCATTATTAAAACACTAGACTCGCCTTTCCTCTGCTTCCTGAAAGAACCGTCAGGGAGCTGGCAACGTTTGTTGGCCATGAAATGTGAACCCTGAGCAAAAGTAAGATCCTCCAAGTCCAACAGCTGTCTTGATCCTGGAACCTGGCCCCCAGCACCATCCGTTCCTTCATCTGCCTGCTCCTTACGCCTAGAAGCTCTTGCTATTCCCCCATCCTCCCCTCCACCATCATCCTCGCCCTTTCCAGTATCCAGCTGCCTTAAGATACGAGCCAGAGACGAGTCTTCATTCATTTTATCTCGTATCTTCTGTCGCTCTGATTCACTCTGAGACGAGGCCAGAAGTGTGCAGTACAGAACTACAACAAACACATTAAATATTCTTAACCAGTGCTTTTGACACAGAGTGTAATAAAACTCAAAACAAGCATTTGCTCTGAAAGGTATAATTCTGTAAGTAGCCACATTTTGTTCATTGTACATTCCCTGAAAAATTAGCATAAAGCATTTTAACTTAATAATTATGTAATAACAGAAACCAAAAATTAAACAGTTATTTTCAAATCCTGCCACTGGACATGAACATAAGCCAGCTTACATGCCATCTCTATTCCAACTACTTTAATGTTATTTCCTTTAACAGACTACTTATGAACACACTAATGTATATAAATTATAAAGTTCCTTCTCATGCCATTTTATAAAAATTGCTAAATCAAAACTGCACTGTATTTAGAATACTATGGGAATCCAAAATAATTATCATTCATCAAGTGTATTCTCAAATTCTTGTTTTCATCTCTCTATACAAATCTCTGGGATGTTTTATTTTAGTTCTTTATTTCTATGTAAGTTACCATCTTACCTGTCTTTTTAATGTTCTTTCTTTCCATTTTACTGCTTTTCAATTTCAGGCTACCATACCTACATTTATCCGATTGTAAAACCGCAACTTTAAAATTTACTCTATTTCAATATAAATGTTTATCATTCCAATATATCCACCTCCATTTCATTTCAAAATGAGTCACAAGATCCAATATCCAACACGCTTATAGAGAAAATATTACAAAACCACACTCATTCTATTATCTTTCATTTGGCTAAGATACAAGATATGTATCAAAAATGTTTTTGTTAGTGCTTTACAATTTCTTAACTGTTGAAAGTGAAAATCCTCATATGGCTCCCCCCCCAAAACCATGCAGACGGGGAAATTACATTGAAAACAAAACTCGCAGAACAGCCTGCTCTGGATTTTCCAGAAGTGACTAATGATACTTACTCATATGTCTATGCTTCTTCAGTAGTTTAATAAAGTCAAAACAATCGTAACCAAGCAGTAGTACCAACTGGTTCTCACAATCTCTATCATCCCCAGCATCTCTAAGAACCGAAAGAACCTCAGCAGCTTTTGCCTGTGATACCATCGCATCATCATAGAACTTTGACAGCCGACGCTGAAGCCAATATGCATCGATATCTAAAGGATGAAGTGATTTCTCCTTCTTCATTTCTTCAGCTCCTCCTAACTACAAGAGAAAGCAGCATTTCTATAAAAATATTTCCATAAACGAAAGCAAACAATCATTTTGCTCTTATGACAGATTAAGCAGTTTCTCATATGCCGTTATCACATACATTAACAATTAATGTCCCTAACAATATGTGCTACATTTTATACATTTTTATGCAGTTACCCACCAAAATTCTATATGCATTCCTTGCTTCCCCTGCCCCTTTATGATGTACATCTTCCTTCCTTATATTAGCCTACAAACAGCTTAGACCACTCTCTGGTGTCCAAAAGTTGTATATTCCTGATACAAGTCAAGCATTGCTCCATGAAAAAATTAAACAAAATCATCTATATCATAGCATATTAGAATCTCAATTACATTTTCTGCATGAATTGTCCCATCTAATTTTGCTTCTTCTCCTTCTTCTTCGTCTTCCTCTTCTCTCACTTCTCCATAAATATCTTCATCATCTTCCTCTTCAGATTCTTCAAACTGAACATTGATTCCATATGTTTCATCAATGTTCTCATCTGCAGGAGAGAAAAAATATATGCATAACAAATTACAGCAAGAATGGAAACATGTATTCCATTTTGGAATACGCATGCAGAGTATAACATTTTGTAACTTGTTTGCCATAAAATCCTCACGGACAATCAGCCATGTCAATGCCAAATTATAAACAGACACTTCATAGACTGGCTCCGTCACCATCGTCAGGGTCAATGTCCACCCAGGCTCTGAAATGTTGGTTTTTAACTTAGCATTGATATGGCTGATTAACTGCGAGGATTTTATAGAATTGATTCATCATGAAAGTTTCAAATCTTACATATTTATAACTTGTTTATTTTACTGTTCAACACAAGACTTCAAACCTTACTTTATACCCAAATACATTCAGTTCACCTCCTACCATGTTTCAGTTGCAGTGTCTATTACTACGTAAAAATTATTTAATATATTTTTAGACTTAAATCACAAATTGTATATGAAACAGACATACTAACCTGCTGTTGCAACCTTTTCTTCTGTACCAAAGTCTGTTATTTTCTTTCCCAAATTTACAAGAAGGGCAAATCTCTCTTCAGCCAAGTTTCCAAGCAACGATTCTGTTTCACGCTTCTTCTCTCGTTCCTTCAAGCGATCATTTTTTAGCACTGCTAAAACTTCATCTGCAGCTCCGCATAAGATATCGCGAGGCTATGACACAAAATTAAGCATTATAACAAAACCTTCCAGAAAAAGTGTTCTACAGAATAGCAGTTCTTAAGCAAGTATTTTCTATGCCCACATTCACTATATAAAGAACTTAACATGGTCACATTAATTTTTAAATAACATTATGACTGGGATGTTCCTAAAACACATCAGCTCCAATCACTGGAACAGCAAACCAGATTCACAAGGTGTACAATTTGGACAAAAAAAATGTTCCAAAGGTATTCCTCATGTGACACACTGCTTAATGTTATCCCCTTAATTGTACATATGAAAAGCAATGAACAGTAAAAGCAACATTCAGGCACCTTTAGAGCTAAAATCAGTTGAATATAATGATGGAAACAGGAGAGATTCATCTTTATGAAAAAAAAAATTGTGAAAGGTTTGAGTAAATATGAACATGCAATCAATCATAAGCTCAAAAATAGAAAGAAATTTACACATTTAATGAATATATACATGGGGCGAAGCATTTCAGACTGGCTTCAAGGGTTAAATAATGCTTAGAACATTGTACTTATTCATATTCAAAACTGAAACAATTCAGTTATGCACTTTTATAAGATTTACTGATATAAAAATGTGTTCTTTCTCTATTAAAACCTGTCACATAAATCTCAATAACAGTTTAGAACATTAATGGTTTTATAAAGTCACAAATTTGTACATTACTCTATAGTTTGTCATATAAATCATATTTCTACAAGCATACCTGATCACCCAAAGCCTCTTGAATAAAACTGAGTAGAACTTCATATGTCTGACGAGTCTCTTGAGTCTTGGGACGATACAAGATGCCCACCATTTCATCTACTCCCTCAGACAATAATGTGGCTCCTTTCATCCTGGTGAAATCATACTGAGCTTCATCACGTTTTTGACGTCTGAAATAATAATAAAAAAACGTTAACTGGCACTTCACATTTCACATTCAAGTCTCATGTCCTCTCACACTGTAGCTTACGAATATTTGACTTGTACTATAGCTTCTTTGTCACTTTATCACCAACATCATGTCTGTTTGGTATACATGGATATAAAATCCAACCATTCACTTTTCTCTGAAGAGTGCAGCCTAGGTTGAATTCATACTCCAACAAACATCTAATGTCAAGTTTGCATGCATGCATACTACATTTGATATGGCTAATATTCAATAACAAACTTACTTCGCTTTTCTTTCTGCAGCCTTTACTGGTCGTGTCCTTTGGTGCCTATCACCCATTCTAGTACCGTCCAGTTTCCCCACAAGGGACATAACTTCGCCTGTTGCCTCATCTCGACTGCGTCGCTCAATAAGGCGAACATCCGCTTGAAGTACAAGATTTGAATTCTATAGACACAGAAAATAATAACATATTTTTTAAACTTCCATAGACTAACAAACAAACACATTTCCACAAACAAGCCTCTGGAACAACAGCACGTTAACCATATTCACCTACTTGTCCAGTGAGATGATCACAGCACTAATTTATTTTAAATATACGCTAAAACATAAAATCACATAACTGTTACAACATAAGTATCTAAAAACAACACATTTTAACCAACTTACCGCTTTATACTCATATTGCAACTGCCTAGCAGCAGCATCCGCCATGTTGTGCCTCAAAGTCTTTCGATCTTGCCAACATAACGCACATAAATTACCTGCCCCTCACGTACTCGCCCTAAAACCGCTAATACAACTTTGAAGACACAGTACGTTTCTTGGAAACAAACCAGAAATCGTCATCACCAATGTGAGAACGTAAAATATCAGTTTCTGTGACTCGTGGCGAATTTCCCAGTAGGAAGGTGTAATTTGAAATCGTTTCACGTGTAAAATATAGTATCTTAGCCAACATACAACTTGACAAGGAGAGGATTCCAATTATTATTTTTGAAGATGGCTGTCCTCTTGTTTGTTGAGTCATGTAATCAGGTAGAACTGGATCCACCGATTATGGCCGCTGACCTCGCAGGAACTGCCCACTATGCGCACCACTCAATTCGTCACGCCTAGCCACGCTTTATCACTCATGATCACGCGTCGTAAACTTACGTCACGCATCGACATTTCTGGACACACCTCCTCACTACGTTACAGTACATCACGCTTTGTCACGTTTGAGCACGATCGGTCACGCTTAGACACTTTTCAAATTTTCATCGTATTTTAACACTTGCGGTGACTTCTCGTAACGCCTTTATAGCAGGTCACGCCTAGCAACTCTTTGTCACACATTGTTACTCTTGGTCACGTCTGGTCACGATTTGTAAATCTTCGTCACGTTTCGACATGCTTACGTTATGTTACGTACGGCTCGGCTAATTTTTGCTGCTTTGCAATACATTAGATGAAGTTACGACAGGTTAGATTAGGTTAAGTTAGGTTAGGTTAGGTTAGGTTAGTTTGTTACATTAGGTAACGTTTTGAAAATATCCGCCACGTTTCGGCACTTATAGCCACATCTCGTGACACCGTTACAGTACGTAACTCGTAGTCGCGCTTTGTCACGCTTTTAAAATCTTGGTGATGTTTTAACACTGAAGGCGTCTTCTCGTCACGCTTTCAAAGGAGGTCACGCCTAGTTACGCTTTGTCACTAATATATTTTATATGTATGATTGAAGATATTGGAGTGGACAGCAACAGCGGTATTGATTAATCAACTGATGTGTCAGAAAGCTATGGTCTGTGAGGAGTGGAAGAGGACGGAGGAGTTGTGAAGAAGATAAAATTATGTAATACTCTCTGCAGTGTTAATTTTCTAGTGATGTGTATTGTAGTGAAATCGACTTTCCTGTGTTACATACCGTGGTGATATATTATTTGGTGTGTACTGTACGCAGCCTGCTGCCATCCCTTCCGGTAAGTGACTCGCTCCGAGGTGTCAATTCACAAAGTTCAGCGGCCAAAAACGCTGGAACGCATTATAGAAGTTTTCCGATGTTTCAGAGGTCCTTGCTGCCTCCATCATCTAATGAAGACAGCTATCCTCTGACTCACCGCCGTGAAAACCTTAAATCCTACATATTATTTTTGAATTTGAAAAGAACCAAAAGAATTTGCTGAAGCATAAATATAGAATTCAGAAACTGAGGCTCCCTTTGCCTCTTGGTCAATCAATTTAATTTGTGGAAGCTGAACATGGAAATCGTAATGTTTAAATTTGTTCAATTGAAAGGTCAGCGATGTCCAGAAGGTGCGGCGATTATTGTTGCACCAAATTCTATTCTGCAAGCATGCATTAAAATTCACAGATTTTCTATTTAAGAACTGAGTCAGACTGATACGCGGAGCGCGAAACGAACCGCGAGCATTTTATGAGGGAAGGGAAAGCATACGTGTGTAAACACGTAAGCAATGCTTGTACGAAGATGCGAAAATCTAATGAACATAAATCGAAATACAGTCCTGCGAGTACTGTGTTTATAAATGAAACCAAGCTGTCGCTGCTTGAAACTTCTCACCCACGTTCATTACCAGTCCCACATAGGTACATTATTATAACTTTTTTCTTGTACACTCATTCTTGCTTCGTATTCGTGAGCTCCTGGGTTAACATCTCGGTCAGGAGACCGGCTATCGTAATAGCTTTCTCTGTTCAGGCAAATGCCAGGGTAGTGTCTTAAATTAATTCACTGCCGTTTCTCCCATATTCTATCCAATTTATCATTCATAGATCATCGTATTTTCCGATGCTATACAGTCTGAGATACGTTAAATAAACCTCGAAATTTATAGTTTAAATGAAGGTGTAACATCCTGGGCCACGCCTTGTGATAACGCTAATCTGCTCTCAACGACTAGCATATGTATTGGCATATTTGACCAGTCACACGTCATGAAGAGACAAGTCTGCATGTTGTTGTTAATCCTGGGAATCTGTGCCCAAAATTCAGACGGAAAATGTAAGTACATTTACACAGACTAAGCCCTACTATTACAGTGACAATAATACTTGATATGTTTAACAAACATATTTTTTTCCGTGCTATAACTATCTACAGTAATTCCGGGAGAGATGCCGCACTTTTTGCAACATTTGTTCTAACTCAATCCGAAAATGGTCAAAACGGCTGAAAATTCAGAGATATTATATTTAAGATCTCTATTATACTAATCCGTAAACAAAATTTCTAAAGCAAATTAATTCTCAGAGATACAGGGCGATAAAAAAGTTGTCTTTGCGGCATCTCTGCCGGACATGCCGGGAGAGATGCCGCTCTTTGCAAACATCCTTGAATTCAAAGAGAAACATATGTAAATGAAAACTGATGAACTTCATTCAAACTAATGAACATTAACTTGGAGAAAATATGTGAATACCAATAAAAATTGAAAAGTTAATGAATAGCAAATGAATGTTCAATTATCAAGTAAATTAAAAGAGAAATGTTCCAGAGGTTGATTGGAGTCTAAGTGTAAACCAGTGAATTTAAAGTCTAAGCGTTAGTCAATGAAATTTATACGGAGAGCAGAACTCATGCAGCCAGTTTCTGCAACAGTTTTCCCAGTACTCACAGCACTTGTTGGTGTTACAGTTTTCAGGGGTCTTTTGATTAGAACTTTTTTTTTTTTTTAAGTTTTTCAACCTTGTAGACCTGAAGTACTCGGACTGTTCACCTTTGCCTTTTTCCTCTGCTCTTTGACTTCATTTCCTCTTTCCTTCTTTCGCCTTTCCTCTATGTTGGCTGCTTCAGTGAGGACTGGGAAAACTGGACTAATCTTCTTCAATAAGATCAGATAATGCAATAGAACAGGCATTTTTGAGTACTCTATAATGTATATGTATGATTTTTTCAATCAGATCTGGTATTTTTTAAGTGCGGCATCTCTCCCTTAATTTCTTGCGGCGTCTCTCCTTATCTTCAGGGAGAGACGTCGCGCCCTCCCACTTGCCTTACCAATGACCAACATGGCGGCCATGTCGTGTGAAGTCAAGACCAGCAACGCTGGAAACCTCTAATGTATCGTGATTTCATAGTTACTTCGACTTGAACTAATAAAGACACATCTTATGAACAATAGAAATAACTTTGAGCATAAAATTAACAAACTCACAGCATAAAATCAGTTATAACTCTTGCAAAACAGCACCGATTTTCAATGCGTTCACTCACAACATTTCTCTTGGCTCACTGAACAAGGACATGTACTGACATCGGCCAAGGATTTACCGGAACCCCCCCGAATTAAAAAATGCGGCGTCTCTCCCGGATTTACCTTATGTTGAACAAAGTCCTGCTTCAATAGCTAGTAGTCGCTCAACTTGTCAAAAAATTTCCTACATATGAGATCTGAAGTTTCCACAGCTGTGAAAATTTGTATTGTGGTCTTCTGGGTTTCGACGCCATGTTGTGTAGGTGGTTAATAAAGTCTTGTATTAACCTATCATCTCCCATTGTTTCCATTCTCAAGGCAAAGGACGGAGGCGGTAGTTTCTTCTGACACGTTGCAAAGCACCCATAAGACTACACGGAATCACAACTTTGAAGGCTACAATCTAAATTCTACAAAATTTATGGGACCCAAATTTTCATTCTCGTGTTCACAAAACCCCACCACTGGTTCCTATTTTAAGCCATATGTATCCAGTCCATAGACTCATATCACCCTCTTTTATGTATTTAAATATTATCCCCCAATCTACGTCTAAGTCTCAAATGGTCTATTCCCTTCATGTTTCTCGACGAAAATTCTGTACACATTTGTCATCTTATATATGCGTCCGTCTTCCCCTCCTTTGTTTAATCATCCGAATAATATTTTATGAAGAATACAAATTATAAAGCAGCCACATACATCGTTCTCCAACCTCTGTACCAGTTCCTTCGTAGGTTCAAATACTCTCTAGTAACCCAAACGTACATTATTCCCACAATGTGAGGGACCAGATGTTACAAAATAACAGATAAAGTTAATAAAATCTTCTCGGGCAATCAGCCGCGCCAAATTGTTAAAAAGAGACCAACGTTTTGGGAACCAACCAATTTTAGGGTTGATTTGGTTAGGTTGGGTTGCGCTGGATTGGGTTAGGTTAGGTTAGGTTGGGTTAGTGAGGCGCATGCGCAGACGACCATTCCAAATGGTTATTTGATAAGGGAGTAGATTAAGGCATGCAAGGACACACGATGAGGGAAATAAATTATACTGGTCTATAAAATTAGGTAATTATTTACACTCAAGACTTACTGTTCAAATATGCTTCCTGAAATAACTCTCAGCGATCCATCAATCCTTCACAAGGTAAGTCGAAAGAAATAGTGTAAAATATGTTTTATCTTTCCACCCTCTTCCCAGAAAAGTATGTCTATATCAGTGTTTCAATCCCACATGCCAAATATTTAATGATAGGCCTATATGCTAAACAATTTTATGGTAAAAATATCGTAGAGAGAATGGGTAATTGTAACAAAGAATATGACCGTATTCTGGGTTGTTGCACCATGTGGTTTCGTGGAAGTTTACTAACATTTCAGAGGTACTTGCTGCCTCCATGATCAGGGTGATCAGTAATGCCTGCTGTAATTCCGGGAGAGATGCCGCACTTTTTGCAACATTTGTTCTAACTCAATCCGAAAATGGTCAAAACGGCTGAAAATTCAGAGATATTATATTTAAGATCTCTATTATACTAATCCGTAAACAAAATTTCTAAAGCAAATTAATTCTCAGAGATACAGGGCGATAAAAAAGTTGTCTTTGCGGCATCTCTGCCGGACATGCCGGGAGAGATGCCGCTCTTTGCAAACATCCTTGAATTCAAAGAGAAACATATGTAAATGAAAACTGATGAACTTCATTCAAACTAATGAACATTAACTTGGAGAAAATATGTGAATACCAATAAAAATTGAAAAGTTAATGAATAGCAAATGAATGTTCAATTATCAAGTAAATTAAAAGAGAAATGTTCCAGAGGTTGATTGGAGTCTAAGTGTAAACCAGTGAATTTAAAGTCTAAGCGTTAGTCAATGAAATTTATACGGAGAGCAGAACTCATGCAGCCAGTTTCTGCAACAGTTTTCCCAGTACTCACAGCACTTGTTGGTGTTACAGTTTTCAGGGGTCTTTTGATTAGAACTTTTTTTTTTTTTTAAGTTTTTCAACCTTGTAGACCTGAAGTACTCGGACTGTTCACCTTTGCCTTTTTCCTCTGCTCTTTGACTTCATTTCCTCTTTCCTTCTTTCGCCTTTCCTCTATGTTGGCTGCTTCAGTGAGGACTGGGAAAACTGGACTAATCTTCTTCAATAAGATCAGATAATGCAATAGAACAGGCATTTTTGAGTACTCTATAATGTATATGTATGATTTTTTCAATCAGATCTGGTATTTTTTAAGTGCGGCATCTCTCCCTTAATTTCTTGCGGCGTCTCTCCTTATCTTCAGGGAGAGACGTCGCGCCCTCCCACTTGCCTTACCAATGACCAACATGGCGGCCATGTCGTGTGAAGTCAAGACCAGCAACGCTGGAAACCTCTAATGTATCGTGATTTCATAGTTACTTCGACTTGAACTAATAAAGACACATCTTATGAACAATAGAAATAACTTTGAGCATAAAATTAACAAACTCACAGCATAAAATCAGTTATAACTCTTGCAAAACAGCACCGATTTTCAATGCGTTCACTCACAACATTTCTCTTGGCTCACTGAACAAGGACATGTACTGACATCGGCCAAGGATTTACCGGAACCCCCCCGAATTAAAAAATGCGGCGTCTCTCCCGGATTTACCTTATGTTGAACAAAGTCCTGCTTCAATAGCTAGTAGTCGCTCAACTTGTCAAAAAATTTCCTACATATGAGATCTGAAGTTTCCACAGCTGTGAAAATTTGTATTGTGGTCTTCTGGGTTTCGACGCCATGTTGTGTAGGTGGTTAATAAAGTCTTGTATTAACCTATCATCTCCCATTGTTTCCATTCTCAAGGCAAAGGACGGAGGCGGTAGTTTCTTCTGACACGTTGCAAAGCACCCATAAGACTACACGGAATCACAACTTTGAAGGCTACAATCTAAATTCTACAAAATTTATGGGACCCAAATTTTCATTCTCGTGTTCACAAAACCCCACCACTGGTTCCTATTTTAAGCCATATGTATCCAGTCCATAGACTCATATCACCCTCTTTTATGTATTTAAATATTATCCCCCAATCTACGTCTAAGTCTCAAATGGTCTATTCCCTTCATGTTTCTCGACGAAAATTCTGTACACATTTGTCATCTTATATATGCGTCCGTCTTCCCCTCCTTTGTTTAATCATCCGAATAATATTTTATGAAGAATACAAATTATAAAGCAGCCACATACATCGTTCTCCAACCTCTGTACCAGTTCCTTCGTAGGTTCAAATACTCTCTAGTAACCCAAACGTACATTATTCCCACAATGTGAGGGACCAGATGTTACAAAATAACAGATAAAGTTAATAAAATCTTCTCGGGCAATCAGCCGCGCCAAATTGTTAAAAAGAGACCAACGTTTTGGGAACCAACCAATTTTAGGGTTGATTTGGTTAGGTTGGGTTGCGCTGGATTGGGTTAGGTTAGGTTAGGTTGGGTTAGTGAGGCGCATGCGCAGACGACCATTCCAAATGGTTATTTGATAAGGGAGTAGATTAAGGCATGCAAGGACACACGATGAGGGAAATAAATTATACTGGTCTATAAAATTAGGTAATTATTTACACTCAAGACTTACTGTTCAAATATGCTTCCTGAAATAACTCTCAGCGATCCATCAATCCTTCACAAGGTAAGTCGAAAGAAATAGTGTAAAATATGTTTTATCTTTCCACCCTCTTCCCAGAAAAGTATGTCTATATCAGTGTTTCAATCCCACATGCCAAATATTTAATGATAGGCCTATATGCTAAACAATTTTATGGTAAAAATATCGTAGAGAGAATGGGTAATTGTAACAAAGAATATGACCGTATTCTGGGTTGTTGCACCATGTGGTTTCGTGGAAGTTTACTAACATTTCAGAGGTACTTGCTGCCTCCATGATCAGGGTGATCAGTAATGCCTGCTAGTAAACTGTCAGCAGGCAGTTTGCTTGCGTGCTGGTCTCTGATATAGTGCACTGCATTACATTTCTTGTGATGTAATTGTGTAACTTTCATTTCACACCTGTGCCCTGTTTCTACTTTTGATTATGTATAATGAAATATGAAGTGAGAATTTCTTCATTCAATTGTCAGAATTTTCACACACCCCTAAAGTAAATGAATGATTATAATCATATACATGTTTGTCAAATATTTCTTAGAAATATTTATTTCAGATAAACATTCTGCATATATTTATTTCAGATAGACTATGTGTTACTGAAAGTATGGCAACATCAGATTCTTGCAAAACTTTAGAGGCAGCTGAGAGCAAATTCATTTGTGTGAAAGTAATTGACAGGTAAGTTACATATTTCAATTTACCATTTATTATTTGTTTGTACAATATGTTAACTTGAAATCAATTTCTTGAATATTTATGATGACAACTAGGAAAAATTTGAATGTTGGGGAATTTCTATCCTCTTTTAGGCTTTCTGTAATTTGTTCTGTATGTCTAATTGCCATAATATTGATTTAAAGTAGAAATTGATTGTCCCCTGCCTATCATTTTCAGCCACCTCTTATCTCATTCAACCATTCCTAACCTCAAAATTTCAGACAACATCATAAAATAATGAATAGGTTTTGCCTTTAGATATTATTTCTATTTCAGTGTTGACTGCGCTCTAAAGTTGGAAAGAAATGAAGCAGACTTTGGAATATTCACAGCTGAAGAAGTCATCTTGACATCCAAATTTGATATTAAACAGCAGAGGATATGTATTGCTGAAATTCGAGAACTTGATAGAGAAACTGGTAAGAAATTATATGTTTAGTCAAGGACCTTTCATGTATAAGACCACTGCTACATCTAGTTGCATGAGATTTTATTTTCAACACAAAAACATTTCTTACGTTGGAATTTAATCCTACTATGATATGTTACAAACTCCTGTACAATTTCAGTGGATTTTTTAGTAGTAGACATAACTGATAGCTTTTTATCTCACATCAGATTTATGTTGCATCATGTTGAGGACTGTGATATTGAAACAAATATAAAATCCATCATATACGATGATAACATAGAAGCCATTTTCTGTCATTTTCATGACAATTTTAATACTATTCACTTTGTAAAAAAAAAATTTCCATCCAAAATATACTGTTCTTCATACCAATTCAGACACAATCATGTAACAAAAAAATCATAATCTTTTAAGGCCTAGTGGTACGTATCTGTCCCACCTGCTTGACAATCTATTATTATTCTCAGTGCAGAGCTAGTTTGTCAGCGTCGTTTCTTGTGG